CTGGGGGCCCTCGTCGCCGCGCCTGGATGCGCCTCGAAGTCTTGGTCAGAACGCACCCCGGGAGAGGTCCAGAGGATAGTAGTAGCGATATCTGGTTCCCCGGGAGGGACGGCGGGGGAGGCGGGGGGGTGGAGGGGGATTGGGAGGCGGAGGAGGAGGAGGAGGAGGAGGAGGAGGGGGAGGAGGAGGAGGGGGAGGAGGAGGAGGAGGAGGAAGAGATGGAGGAGGAGCAGGAGGAGGCGGAGGAGGAGGAGGAGGAGGAGGAGGAGGACCAGTGTAAACCCAAGACTGATCAACGATATTGCAATAGACCCTCCCTCCAAGTTCCCTCGTTATAGGCCCTATACACGGGTCTATTTTCATTGAGGGAAGTGCCCCCGTTGGACGACAGCCGTTTGAAAATCCGAAACTGTGCCAGAACACCAGTCCCATGATTCGTTCGCAGCGAATCACAGTTCCTTTTGCGTCTTGCCGACCATTAATCGTGCCCAAACACTAGCTTATGGGACTTCAACACCGCGAATCAATGTGACTGTCGCGCCCTGACATTCCTACATCGTGCTACACAGTTTCTGGTATTTCAACCGTGAGAACCCTTGAGACGGCTGCAAACTCTTAAGATGAATCGGCGGGAACCGCATTGTGAAAAGGAGCCGCCCTCCATCTTTGAAGTTTTTGAAAACTTTGAGACGACTTTGTGCGGCGCGACGGCGAGCGCCACTTTCTGAAATCAGACCGCCCTCCATCCGTGAAGCTTTTGCAAACGTTTAAGACGCAGGTGCGCGGCGCTAAGGCGAGAGCAACATTCTGAAAACGGCCCGCCCTCCATCCATGGAGCTCTTGCGCGTCTGAAGACGCAGGTGCGCGGCGCTAAGGCGAAAGCCGCATTGTGAACACGGCCCGCCCTCCGTCCGTGAAGCACATTCAAGTTTAAGGACCAATGTGCGCGGCGCTTCAGCGAGAGCAACATTTTGAAAACAGCCCGTCCTCGTTCTGTGCAACTGCTTGCAGTTCTGTAAGACGAACGTGCGCGAAACTATTTTTGGTATCCACCCAAGGGATAGCGCATGTTACCCCCCCCCTTCCCCCTCCCCCCCCCGTAGCGGTACCGCTCCGGCCCCGATCCAGCGCGCGATCCCGGGCAGCCTAGGGTCTGTTGTGCAAGCGGGCGTGCATTATGGTGCACGCAGGAGATTGTTCTTTTCAGGGTCCGGCGATAACCCAGGTTATCGGTCTCCCCCCCCCGCCGCCCCACGATAACCTACAGTAGCCAGTTGTGCAGGTCCGGGGGGGGCGCAGGGAGCTTGCAGGGAACACTATGTTCAACGGCGCGGTGGTGTTCGCCACAGCATGCTGGTTTTTAGATGCACGTTGGCGAAACGTTGGGGCTTGGAGTGGCACGGGGAGACGACGACAACGACGACGACGACAGACGACAGACAACAGACGTCGACAGACGACGACGGACGACGATTGATGACGATAGGCGACGACGAACGACTACGACGGCACAGACGACCGACGACGACCGACGTCGTCCATAGGCATCTGGACGTGCACGTGAGCAGCGCGTACACAGGCATTGCGTTGTGAACAAGCAGCGAGGCGATTTGGTGCCCGCATTTGCTGCTTTTGCAACAAGATATGTTGTGTATGCAGGCGTCGTAGTGCACGCAAGCCGAAGTGCACGTAGGTCGCGCGCGGTGCACGCGAGCATCGCGATGCACCCATGCGATCCGGTAGAGGCAGGCTTTGTGGTGTGTACAACTGCTTCTGAAACATCAGTTATCATGCACGCAGGCGTTCGGTCCTGCCAGGGGCCCTGGAAGTGTACGCAATTCTGTGGTGTACACAAGCACTTCGGTGCAACGGAGTTGTGGTTCACGAGTATGGGGCTGAAGCAGCAACCGTGGTGCACATAGGCGTCGTCTTGATCACAGACAGTGTGTGTGGTGTACACAGGCGCTGCGGAGCACACGGGTGTTGTGGTGTACAGAGGCATTGTGGTGTACACAGGCATTTTTGTGTAGACAGGCGTTGCGGTGTACACACGCAGCTGTGGTGTGCAAAGGCGTCGTGGCGCACGCTAGACAGGCGCTGTGGTGTACACAGACATGGTCGGTCAAAAACGGGGGTACCCCACTCCGGGCCAGAAAAATCAATGAACACAAAAAAGTTACAGATTGAACTTGATATGTTCGGCACCCCCGCGGTTTTCCAGATTTGGGCCCTGGCGGGACCTTAGAGGTGCACGGAAACGCTGTGGCGCAAATGTTTGCCATGCGCTGTGGTGCACGCGGCTCTTGTGGTGTGCACAAGCACCGCTTTGTGCACAGGCGCTGTGGTGCACGCAGGTGTTGTCGTGTACACAGGAATTGTGGTGTACACAGGCACTGTTGTCTAGACAGGCGCTGCGGTGTAAACAAACAGCTGTGGTGTACAAAGGCGTCTTGGCGCACGCTAGACAGGCGCCGCGGCGCACGCTAGACAGGCGCTGTGGTGTACACAAACGTGGTCGTCCAAAAACTGGGGGACCGTACCCCGGGTCAGAAAATTCAATAATCACAAATGAGTTACATCTTGAATTTGATACGTTCGGGCCCCCGACGATTTTCCGGAGCTTGGTCCCGTCGGTATTGTCTGCAGTCGAACACGAATTTGGCGTTGTGCGCAGGCGTTGTGGTGCACAGGGGGTGCTGAAACAGCGGCCGTGGTGCACGCAGGCGCCGTGGTGTGCACAGATCGCGCGATGTACAAAGGCGTCGTGGTGCACGCGGTTGTTATGGTGTACACAGTCGCCGTGGTGCACACACGTACGATTTCTGCAGCAGCCCTGGCACACAAAGGCATTGTACAGAGCCCGTGCTGTGAGCACAGGCGCTGTGGGCTTGGGCGGCGGCGACGACGACGACGACAACGACGTAGACGGCGCGCCTCAGGGGGTGCGCGCCGCGGCCCCAGTTACCGTTACCCCCCCCACGTTCCCCCCCCTCCCTTGTAACATGCGTTATCCCCCCGAAATAAAAATGATCTCCGCGGCGCTGAGGCGAGAGCCACATTTTGAAAGCCACCCGCCCTCCATCCGTGAAGCTGGTTCAAATTTGAAGCTTCATGATCGCAAGTGGTGAGGAGGTCTCAGGCGGCACGTCCGGGCCCGCCCTTCCGACCGGCTTCGGGGGAGGAGTACATTATAAGGAAGCGGGATTGACCGAGCATTTTCTTTGGGTGGAGGGCAACGGGTGAAATCTGAAATGCCGCTTCGATGGATGTTTGAGGCTTGAATCTGCGAGAGGAGGTGAATCACAGGACGGATCGATTCTCGAGGTGCAGAAGTCCATACGGATTTCACCCCGAGCCCTCCGCCGTAAGAACATGCTCAGATTGAGGGGGCGGGGGGGGGGAGGGGGGGGGGAGGGGGCAGGGATGGAGGGAGGGAGCGTTGAGGGCCCGCCGGGAGGCTCTTGGCCGCGGGGGGGGGGGAAGGGGGACGAACCGCGGGTCGTGCAATACTGGGCGGCCCGCCCGCGCCAACGCAGAGCCCGCGCCGAGCGGCCCCTGCCGGGCGGCAGCCCACGGACGGGCCTCCCGCGGCGGCGTCGAGGTAAAGGAAAGGAAGGAGGAGGGGAGGAGGAGGGGAGGCAGGGAGAGGAGGAGGAGGAAAGGAGGAGGAGGAACGGAGGAGGAGGAGGAGGAAAGGAGGAGGAGGAGGAGGAGGAGGAGGAGGAGGAGGAGGAGGAGGGGGGAGGGGGCAAGTTAGGTGCGCTCGCGTCAACATCTGACATCCTACCCCTCCCTCCCATCCCTTACCATGGCGCTGATTTTCTCTATCCGCGGACGCGTGTCGTAGCGGACCTGTGGCTCCGCGCGCGTGTGCGTAGTGGGTGGTGGTGCGCGTGCGTGCGTGCGTGTGTGCGTGGTTGTGGTTGTTGTGGTGGTGGTGTGTATGTGTGTGTGTGTGTGCGTGTGTGCGCGTGTGCTGTGGTGTGACGTGGTGTGGCGTCTTGGTGGTTTGGTGGTGGGCCAGGTGCGTACGTGCGTGATGGCGGTGGTGGTGGTGGCGGTGGTGTGTGTGTGTGTGTGTGTGCGTGTGTGTGTGTGTGTGTGTGTGTGTGTGTGTGTGTGTGTGTGTGTGTGTGTGTGTGTGTGTGTGTGTGTGTGTGTGTGTGTGCGCGTGTGCGTGCGTGCGTGCGTGCGTGTGTGGTGTGTGTGTGTGTGCGTGGTTGTGTGTGCGTGCGTGCGTGCGTGCGTGTGTCTGTGTGTGCGCGCGTGTGATGTGGTGTGACGCGGTGTAGCGTGGTGGTGGTGGGTGGGATAGTGCGGTGGTGGTGGCGGTGCGCGGTGGTGGTGCGCGTGCGTGCGTGCGTGCGTTGGTGGGTGGAAGTGGCGGTGGGTGTGCGTGCGGCGGGGCGGGGCGTGGTGCGGCGCGGTGGTGGCGGGCGGATGGGCGCGCGAGAAAGAGGGCCGCGCTGGGGCGAGAACGCCATCCTGAACGACTGAGGCAAAACACCGATCCGAAAATGAGGCCCACGCTGCAGCGGGAGCACGATCCGGAACGATTCGGGAGAAGAAATGAGGCCGGCGCCTCATTTCTTCTCCCGAATCGTTCCGGATTCGGGAGAAGAAATGAGGCATTTTGAAAAAAAAAAAAAAAAAAAAAAAAAAAAAAAAAAAAAAAACGCAGGCGAAAACCCAACTCCCGGGAATCCTGTGTGTTAAAAAACAGTACGCGGGGGGGGGGTCGAATATTCCCAGGACGCCATCAGGGGAAGAGGGAGAGTAGTATTCATATTGAGTAATTGTAGAGGCAGGGGGAGGAGGAGGCCCCCATCGAGGCCGCTCTCCTGGCCGTACCTGCCTCTGCTGGCGCGCGAGTCGGCCGCACTGGTCGTCCGACCTGGCCGCGCTGCTGCGCGTGCGGCTGTCGAGCGAAGGGGGGGGGTGGGGAGGATGGAGGAAGAGGAAGGAGGAACGGAGGGGTGGGCGCAACGGCGGCCTCCCAGGAGGATCGTCTTCAGGGACCTCAAGCCTGAGAACATCCTGGTCTCGTCGCAGGAGAAGGCCGCCCCGCTGGTTCGCTCCCTCCGCTCCGCCCCCGCGGGAGGACAGCGGTGGGGGGCTCTGCTGTTGTCCCCTGCCCGACAGTTCTGGGTTGTTAGATTGGAGAGGCCTGACGGCCGGTGCCGCCGACCCTGATCGAAAGGGCTGGGAGTGGGGGGGGAAGCGGAGGATGATGATGATGATGATGAGGAGGAGGAGGAGGAGGAGGAGGAGGAGGAGGAGGAGGAGGAGGTTGTTAGATTTTTCCTCCCAAAGAGAGAGCTCCCGACACACCTCGCACACCCTACAGGCCGCGGCCGCCAGGCCCAAAGTGTGCCTGTGCTCCCTGGGCGTCCCGCCCCGTGTCTTCGGCAAGCGGCGACTGCATACCGCTGCCGCCAGGCCTAGGGTTTGCGCAGCGCCTTCTCGGGCCGGGATCGTTCGAAACAAGCCTTGATGTTTTCCTGGGAGGCCATGTGCTTGTCGGGCAGGCCTGACACTCCAGCACGGCGGCACAGCTGCTGCAAAGCGAGCCATGTTCGAAGAGGCGGCGCACTTTTGACCCACCTCCTCCTCTTCCTTTCGGGAAATCCTGGTATGCTGTCATATATATATATACACATACTGTATATATACATATGTATGTATGTATGTATGTATATATGTATATAGTTGGCGGAGGAGGCTAAGCAGTATGATTGCAGTTTTCCTGGGTGGTGGCATGGCTTTCTGCGGTGTCGACGGAGGGAAGGGGCAATCATCGTTCAACAACGCGTCGGCTTCGCTCTTCGTCGCCTTGCTATCCCTCATTGGAATGAGCTTCACGATCTCAGCAACGCGTTCATGTGCCCATCCTCGTCGTCTCTAGCGGCCGTGGGTGATCGTCTTGTGCGACCCGAGTTTCAGGTTTTTGCCGAGCAGCGTATTCGGAATGGAGTTGTGAGTTTCAAGCGGCGTGGGCATGATGAGAAGTCTTCTAAGCCACAGGAGCGTCACTACTTCCTCACGAAGACTGGGGGATTGCAAGGGCCCTGCGAGATGCCAAAGCAGTTTGTCGGGGTCTTCCATGACTCGATTGAAGAATTACGTGCTGATCCCACTTATACCCCTACTTTGGCGCACAGTGAAGTTTGCAGCGGATCTAGCATAAACAACTCTCTCTCAGGCTTTGCCGACGACATCTTTCAGAAACGCCTTGCCCCTCGAGGTCTGGCTGTCCAGAACGTTATCCAGAACATTGCAGTTAACGGCGAGGAGATACATCGAATTCATCATAAATGCTGTTTCTCCCCGAATAGGAGCAAACATGATCTTATACCACATCTCGGCTCCACTCTAAGTAATCGTCAAGTACACGAGCATTGTCTTGCTTAACACGGCGCATTTTTTTTTTTTGTTTTTAAAACAAAAAAAAAAAAAAGGCGCATGCTCGACACCTGGGGGCACGGTGCACGATGAAGGGGAACAGCGGGGTGGAGGTGGACTTGCGTAATCAAGGGATGAGAGGCGGGTGGAGTATGATGGGGTTCCTGTGGCACGAAAAGGGGACTGCGTCGACTTAAGCGATAACTCTATCTTAGTACTGTCTTGAAGAAGGGCCTTACGGGGCTCGAGGCGTTCGATCTCACCTCGTCGGAACATGCTCGTCTTGACGTTATCATCGTCCGCTACTTTCGAGTACAGATAAAGGCTCGGCGACGAACTGGGATGGATCCCGCGCCGTATCGCTGAGCAACGACGAGGGCCTGCGTGAGTGGCGCATCCTGCCGGGCGCGGGCGGGCTCGCGGTCCGACGGGTTCGTTGGCTCCAGAGTATGGTTCGGCACCGACACGCTCATTCTCAGACTGTTTCGGTTCTCTTGGGACACATCATGCACGAAGAGCCCACGCTCGCACCTTCTGGCACATTGAGCAGCACGGCGAATCCATGGATACGTCAGTTCGCACGCGATCTAGAATGTGATCGAAATATATGCGGTGCAGAGACCTTTTTCGCAGTTTGGGGGGGTTTCAGGCTATTCGTTGAAAGAGCTGTTCCAGGATAGTTCAGATTCGGCCCACGAGTTTCTGAGGATAAACGCTCGTATTTTGCGTTGTGCAGTCTTCACTGATCGTCGACATTGGGATCGACTCGTTCGTTTTATTCGTGTTCAGGTTCCACAGTCTGGGCAATACTATGTGTTTAAGTTTCTGAACCCTACCCATCAGAGTTGCGGTCTTGGTTTCGCTACCCTCCAACAGCTTCTAACACATCAAACGGCACATCATTGTATACGATCTATTCTAAATTCTGGAGTGACCCTGAATCAATGCCCCAATTGCTGCTCAGTCTGTCGGGATCGGCAATCTTACCCAGCACCATCCTAAACGGGCCTACGCTAATGGTCGTTGTCAACTTGGCAGGGCTCACATGTCTTGGGAGATATCGGGCCCCCTCTGGATTCAGATGTGGGCTATGCGACGTTGCGGCTGTTGGCTCAGTGAGTGAACTACACGTGCACCTTCGACGTGAGCACCTCCTCCTGCTGCTTTCGCGGCTAGTTCTTCCTCGCCCCGCCCATCCGCGGCGGGCAATCCACGCCGGCAGTGCTGGCGGCGGGCGGCGCGGCCGCCCAGCCAGCCCGCGCGCGCGGTGCGCCGGCGCCAAGGGGAGGGCGACGGCAAGCGCGCCGACGGGCTCAAGGAGGTCAGACGTGGAAGTCGGGCCAGAAGCAGTTAATCGGCATGGTGATGCGCCGGACTTTCCGCAATTCTCAGCAGATGCGCGAAGTCATGGCAGCGCTCGCCGACGTGTTCCTCGGCCCAGAGAACCATCCCATCATCCTGCGCACGGGGGAGCAGACGTCCGCACACGGCGAGGTGGTGAAAGGCAAGAAAGATTACGAGTGCGGCCCTCCTCAGATCTGGGCGTTCGGCGGCGTGCTGAAGTGGCTGGAGGATCGGGGCCCCGAGGCCCCCCCGCGCAGGGGGCTCCATCTGCAAGGAGCTTCGCGGCAAGCTTCAGCGCGCGCGCGAGGAGTGCAACCAACGGAGTGCGACGAAGAAGTGCGAATTTGTTCTGTGCTGCAAGGTGGAGAATGTATTCCAGAAAGGCTCGAAGAAAATGACATTCGCGTTCAGGGGCCGGCGCTCCGCCGGATGATTCTCGAGGCCTTCGAGGGGGCCCGGGGCCCGTCCATGAAACAAGGACAGCCCCCCCCCCAAAAAAAAAACGTTCATGGAGCGCGAGCTTCAGCAGATGCTGGAGCAGATGGACGCCTGAATCAGCGCGCAGAGGCCACGGGCCCACGTGCGCTGTCTCTCGCTCGGCGACATGGTGGGCTATCTTCTGATAGGCCGCGAGATATCGTTTTCTGGGATGGCACAGTCATTGATGTTAGAACGCACGGTGATTTTTCAATTGCTCGTGGAGCTGGTAATACTCCGCGGCTACCACTACTGGCAGCAGGTGCTGATCGGGCTGTGTTCCGTGCTCGCCCAGTCGCTGACCCAGCGGACGAAGTTCGGCCTGGCCCCGTCTCTCGTCCGTCTAGGCTCCGACTTGTCACCGTTGTTTTGGCTTCTCGTCGTATCGTCCTTGGCACTCAGCAGGGTCAGACGATGATGAGTAGCGATCGAGTGCATGAGATGGCACAGCAATGGCATCAGCAACGTAGCAGCAGCAGCAGCGGAGCGCAGTGAGTAACGGAATGTGTCCCACAGTGAGCTGTTCGAATCGAACTGTTTGTCGACTGTGCTGACAAGGGCTGCGCGTGGGATCTTGGTTGCTGCAAGGCGGTTCCTGGCCCTTTGGGCTCCGTCGTGTCGTAGCGGAGGCTTTGCGTTGGCTTTTGCTGGCCCACTTTTTTCAAGCAGCACGGTGTCCAGTCTCCCTCCTCGGGCCTTCGTCCTCCTCCATGCGTTTATTTTCTGGCGTCGGCCGCGATGGGGCCGTCGCCAGAAAATCTCGATCTCGGTCTTGCCCTGGGATAAGTTCAGGATTGCCCTTCACGGCCCCCTCGCGCGTCGGAACTCGTGGGGGCGTTCCATGGAGCCGCCGTAGCTCCGTAGGGTACCGTCCTGTCGCCTCGAGGCCCAGCCTTTAGGCGCGCTCCTGGCTTGATCGGGCTCGCCGCCCCAGGGTCATTTGGCATTCAATTCGCTGTTTCGCCCAGTGGTGATTTTGATATCGCTGCATTGCATAGTGCATCCAGCTCTCCCCAGAGACATCGGTTGGAGCTTATGGTGATTGTGTGTCTGTCCTCCTCCTCCTCCTCCTCCCCGCCCCTTCTCTTCCCGCTTCCCTCCTCCTTCTCCTCCGTCTCCTCCTCCCCCGCCGCGCGCCTTGAACTTGGCGCGGGGCGGCCGAGGGCAGAGCGCCCCCTTCGCCGCTCTCCCTCGCAGATTTGCGCGCCGCTGGGGCCGATGCCGAGGGTGAGATCGCCTTCCCCGCCATCGCCATCGCGATGCCGCGACATCCTTCTCCTCTGGCCCCCGCTTCGTTTGATATTCACACATGCTTCCTCTCATTCCTTTTTCGCCCCACTAGTAAACTCACGGCCCTCCTACATCACGCAACAAAGCGACATCCACGCCCCCCTTCAACATGGGCGTTGCGTCGCCGACATTGCAACATTTGCGGAAACGGGGCACGGCTTTTGGTCAGCGGCGAGGGCGGACGTTGACGCGGCCGATCAGCCGGCGAGCAGCGTTGAAAAGGGAAGGGCGGTCGCGGAGGGGGGAACGCGGAGGGAGGTCCCAGGTTCAGAGAATCATCGGGACATGGCGCACATCGCGCGCGCGAAAGGGCGACATGTTGTTTTCGCCCGGGCGCCGCGCTAGTTTTTCCTAGTGGCTTCCCCCTTGGACGCGGCGCGCTTCTTTTCGGACGCCGCGGCGGCGGCCTCGGGGCCGCGCCCGAGCGAGCGAGGCGTCGCCCTGGCTCGGGCGTTGCTCGCTCCTGCTCCTGAAAGCTGCGCTCCTGCTGGGGTTCGGCTTCGCGTCTTTCGACCGCCTGCTCTTCAGGAGGGGAAGGAACACGC